TTTATTTTCCCTGCGCCATTAATAATTTTACTAAATAGATGTAACTATTCGGCTCGCATTATTAACTAAACTGAAACGGAATAAAAAACGACGCGCGACGCGTTAAAACGAGTGAACTATAATAATAATAACCATTTGTAAAAACGCAGTTTTAAACAGTTTTTGATATCATGAAATAAGCAAGTTGTAGTGGGCTATACCAACAATTGACTACAACTCAACTTTTATACCATATTCGGTAACCAGTTGTGAACATAGTTACCACGCCCACGCACGACAAGACACTCGACGTAGTTGCTGTGAATCCGGCCAAGTCAAAACGTAATTTGGCTCGTGACGGAATATTAATATGTTCTCTTTAACGTTACGCGTCACGTACGATGCGCATACGACCCACGCGCATTATTTATATTATATAATAATGACATGTTACCCATTATTATAACAAAATCATATAATTAAACGGTGGTAATGTTAGCCATTTTTATAATATTGTTAAATACTTACGTTCTCGGTGTCCATGATGTTGCAGCATTGGCCAACGGACGTGATACGCTGGTGTGGGTTGATCATCACTGTGTCCGCGGGTGACGGTACCGCCCATGATTCGCAATATCCTCTGCACGCGTTGGTCGTGATGGGGAATTCAACGCAGTTGGGTATGCTGATTTTCCTTGTGTGACCTGTCGATGAGATGACAAACATAATATAATAAAAATAATAAAGCGACGCGTTGACGTTTTATATCGTGTGTGTGCGTAATTTTATAAAACAAATTGCAGTCACGACGACTGGCGATGGTGGTTAGGTTGGTTATCAAACATTGGACGACTTCAGCATTGCGACGACCGGTCAGTACAACTGCGAAGAATTGAAATGTATGTTTTATATTTTGCAATAATTACTATTTACTACTCATATTTAATTTTTAATTCACGAAATTAATTCCTTCTATTGTTAGACTGGTAGACACCTTGGTGGTGTTTTAGTACCCGAAGTCAGCTGAATGTTCCCTAAAAATTCTTTTTTTTTTTTAACAACAAACCGTAACACAAACAAATAGTGTTTTAATTGACTTTCAGCTTCTCGTTATAAGTTTTTAATCAAATCGTGAAAATTTAATATTATTTCTTACGTTGTAGGTATATGTTATACTACTTAAGACCTTAGGTATATAAAATCGAAAGTTGATTTTCCGCGCTTTTCGATATCTCGGGTCATAAAATGAATAAATAATAGTAATGGCAAGCGGTGGATCAAAAATGGAAGATTTAGTTCAACAACGGTTTGGTTAAGTCAGGTATACACGCCAGCGGGGAACMCTGATTAAAGGTTTTTTTTAGCCACTCAACAACAATATTATAATACTCGTGAATTTTAATGAAGTCTGTATCATGTTAGGTTAATAAAGCACCACTAGCACATACCATTCTTTTTCCCAACCACAGTTGTGTTTAACTCCTAAAGCCATTCCACGACACTTCGAAAGGCATTGGTGGTTGGTGGAGGGGGATGAAATGGGAGACATCGGTGATTATGGAAGATTGTGGTGATTATGGTGGTGCTATACTATCGTATAGTCTTACAATATTTTTCAGAAGCCCATAAAAATTATGTGGATTTATTTGTATAGATGTGGAAATGTYGTATAATATGATAGACGTCGTCATTTATCGAACAACACGATAGTAATATTACCATATCAAATTAATGGTCCGTATACTATTTACATGATATTYGATAGTATTACATAATATTATAAATTATTATTATACTGATATGATCCATACAAATGCAGTTTCGAAAAAAATATTTAAAAAATAAAATATCGTAATTTATAGATACTATGTATTTTTGAGAGATGAAATGAAATTCGACACACACGCTATAATTTTCGGTACTTTTTTAGATTGATATTATAAAAAAATATGGTTATTTAATACAACCATTGAGTGTAATATAAATATTATTATAGTCTGTAAACGAATTAATATTATTATAGTCTTTATCGTGACACAATATATAATAGTTTTAAACGGTTCTTACACAATATTGTAGCAAATTTTCGATACATTTAAAAATAACCCATTAGGCTTTACTCTACAAATGACACTGGTCATAATTATATTATGGTTCAACACCAAAGAATTCTATATAACATTTTTTCCCATTAATTATTTGACTTACATATTATACAAGATGAATAACGCTTGGTCAATCACATAAAAATTATTAAATCTCCAAGTACAAAAATCTTGAATTTTTTATTATATATAACCAATGGAAAAAAAAATCACGTGTTCCTAACTATGTTAGTAATTTATATCGAAAACTTGAGTGAAACGTCGTAGAAATGTCGTCGACACCCGTGGAAGTTACGCGGACGGCGTGAGAATTATGCTTGTCCCAGATGCTGGGCGATGGTTTGAGAAAAAAAAAACGCGTTTTCTCAAAATACTTACACTGCACGCGGTGAGCTATCTCATTTATAAATGGCTGATAAAAAGAAATGAAAACAATAAATTCGAAAAACTAATTGTTATAATAAGTAAGAGTAAGTATAAAGTTGTATAGAAAATAAATATATAGGCGCTGATACAGATACAATAGAATATAAAAAGAAATAAGGACGAATACTATACAAATGACTCATATTTATGGCGTCAAATGGCGACCCGGATTAAGCGTCGTCGCCTTTATAGAATAAACAAAATGAGCGTAACGATGAAGACCGTTGCCGAGATAATGACACACAAATGTCCACAGTTTAGCTGTTTTCGTTTCAATCACACGCTTGAAGGCCATAAATTGGCATATGTAATATCGTATTATTTTATGCTTGTTTTAGTTGTATGATTTTTTTTCAATACTATGCTTAAATATTCACATTCTGGATTGATAAAAAAAATCATCCATCAGCTCTTGATTATCAAACTGCGACAACTTGTACCTATTTACAAGTATTATGGAGCAAAACACCTTTCTGATAATAAGGTTGTTATGAAAAAAAAACCAAAACATATCGGTTATCGAATATTATAAATCATTTTTATGACCAAAAATTTAAAGCTTACACAAGCCAGTGTTCTGAAAATTTTACTCGGCGCTGACTGTTCAAGCATTTTATTTTATGATCTGTGTCTATCCGGTACCAGTTGTCTGTATACCATGGGGTGTACGATCATGATTTTTATTAATTGTCGTGTACTCACCTACTTTGTGACAACCCGGTTTCTGCCAAGTGTTAGAACCAATAGCCAACTGGGATGGTAGGATCGCCAAGATGAATATCAAGATCATTGCGGCGCTTTTCCACCACCGAAACTTGTTCATAGCACTGAAGTTAGACATCAGACTCGATCTGAAAACCAATATTTGTTTTACACGTCATTATATTATTTATATTATTATTATTATTATGATTGCTTTGATTAATGAATTCTGAAATGTTAAAACACTATTACAAATAATTTATATAATATGCAATATTTATGGTTTTTTTTTTTTAAATAAAAAAAAAATATTTCTGATACGTTTCGTTGGATTTAATATCACGTGGACGTGCAATAAATAAAAAGTACTAAACATAAAAAATATAAATTTCACGGTAGAGTGSTCAAATGATACAAATTTTCTGCAGATATAACTTATGCTACATATATGTAAATATGTTAACTATATACAGTATGTCAGTATGGTATTATTATATAGTATAAATATCAAATATGGTATATAATATATAATATGTTTTATTTAGTAAGAAATATAAATAGATTTAGGTATACTATTTAGTATTAAATCTTTTATCGGGTATAAAATGTAGATATTATATGAACAAGAACCAAAAAGAAACGGTTATTAATAATTTTAATAATTAGATGATACTCTATTGATTAGAAACATGGTAACCATGATAAAAGTCACTCGACAAAAGAGCGTAGGACGAATTTCGAGTTATTCCTTTTTAGTTTTTGTCTTGAATTGTTTTTAATTCAAATCCTCCATAGTAAAACATGACTTCACTA